TATAGAATTCGACTTCAATTTCATAGCCAATTTTGTTCACAAGAGCTTGTCTTCATTTCTATGCTCATTTTCGTTTTCGTTTTGATATTTTCATGTTTCAGCTAAGTGTGACTAACACTAAGTGAGTCTGAGAATTACTATGCAAATTGTAATATGTATTATTATTATTGTTGTTATTATTTTTTCATTTTCAATCATTTTTTACTATATGTCGTACGTAAATGGAACAACAACAAATGAGTGTATTTGATAAATTTGGTTTGGTTTCTGCTAAATTCATTCTGGCGGGGATAAAAACTGTGTCGCAGCATTAAAAMAACGTGTACGATACCAGCTAAAGGACAGCAGAGATTCAAAGGGAAATTATAAGGGGCAAAAAGAGTTTTAACGCAATAAAAAATGGTAGAAATCGAAAACAAAAGCAGCAACTTCAGCAAAAACTTATACTTAATGTTGTTTTTCACACACTCGCTTATCGCAAAGTGCCAGCCAMAGCCAGAACGAGTACASTGACCGGCAAAAGCAAGTGCACAAATCCTAACTTAAATTCTCTTTTCATTAAATTTTCACAAAAAATTATAAAAAATTAAATTATGTCGGTGTGAGCGTAGACATTTGTACAGTGACTATTGTGGGATTATTTTTGACGATTGAGCTTGATTTCGATCGTTCAGTTACTATATATAGTGGTCCGATATCGGCAGTTCCGACAAAAGAGCGGAGGAAAAGAACTGGTTCGGGTACATACAGCTAGACGGTCATGGGTAAATCGACTCAGCTCGCCAAGCTGATTATTTACATATTTATTTTATGCGACATCCGACCTTTCCTTTTGGGTGTTACAAACATTGTGGCAAACTTAATATATCTTGTTCAGGGTATAAAAATCGAATATGTTAGTGAATTTAGGTAAGCATTGTTTATTTAAGCGAAGCAAATTCAAAATTTTTAGTAATGCTTGTAATTTCATAAATAAAAATCGCACTTTTGCACTTCCGATAATTTTGCTTCTAAACAAAATATTTTTTATTTTGATTCATTTTTCTAACATAATTATTTCTACATTTTTTCAATTCAAAGGAATATATTCCTTATAATGAGAACTGAGTGTGCACCTACTTCTGACACTCGGTGTAGCCACTGTTTCTATCGCTTACTTCGTGGCATTTATTGCACGCTTTAATTTTTACTGCACCCTTCATAACAGTGGGTGTGAAAAATATGGCGCTGTGCYGATACCGATTTGCACGCCGCATCAGCTTGAGCGCCCTGCCAYAACYACTATSACCAATACTAGTCGAGCTTTTGACWGGAGTTGGTTTTTTCGTAAATCGCTTAGTTTCGAAGAAGTGTCTATATGCCAGGCAGATAAGTGTTGTTGTGCATAGATTTTGCTTTTTACTGTTGGCGATTATTTTCTCTTAAAGTTTTCGTGCCTGTTTTTGTCTCAGCGAAAGTTGGCTTCGACGTCACTTGACTGCCAGTTGCCAGCAGATGCACTCGCACAGATTTACGCGACCAACCAGCTAAGTGTGTGGAAAAGTTGAAAACAGCCGCAACAACAAAAAGCGCAGCGCTCAAGAAGCAAATTTCTTCTTGTAATCAACGTTGCTGCGCTTGCTGTACCGCCTTGACTTGTTTGCTTTGGCTGCGGCTGACTGCGGCTGATGGCAGCGCGGTATTGTGTGTGGCTGTGGCAGCATTTGTCAATACAAAAATGCTGAGCTTTTTGCGCTCACTGTGTGGCCATGTATGGCGGTTTTGTTTTTATTTTGGTTTTCTTTCGGCTTTTATTAATCTTCGCTTCGTTTTTCTTTGCTTCGGAATTTCGTTACAGATTTCATTTGTGCATCAGTTTTGTTTTCGGCATGCAGCTGGTGTATTTATGCACAAACACTGACACACACACATGCACTCACACGTATGCACATGTGTGTGAGCTCAATTGCGGCGTGCTTGGTGTGCACTTCAGGCAAAAATGCAACATAAAGTTTTAACATTTGCTTGCGTTTTTTTCCGTTTCGTCTGCTTGTGATGTGGTCAACAACAAAAACTTAAACAAAAACAGATAAGGCATATTCAAAAACAATGTTYGTTTACGACGCGTTTTCCAAACCATTTTTATCTTTTGCTGGGGAAGTGGGAAAACTTCAACAATATAAGTGTATGCGAGCATGTATTGTACATATGGAACCAAGTGATGGTGGTGGGGGGGAACGAGCGACTCAAAGCATACTTCTATGTGTCGTATGTATGTATGTAATTAAGCAATAACGGTTAAAAACGCAGTTGCAGCAACACATTTACTGGATTTGAGGAAGCAATTTTTCGAATTATTAAAAACAGTGGAAGAGGAAGAAGTAGAGATAACAATATGCAGTATGCGGTGGTATATAGATATATGTATATATTTATGGTTAGTACAGAAAATCGCAATATTTATACGATGGTGAAAATTGAAAATGCATATAACGTGTTAATTATGAAAAAAGTTGATTAATGAAATAAAATTAAAAGTCATTTACAATATATAGATTATTAATGTAGAAGTTTGCCACGCGGTTGGGTGAAAAGAGCTGTTTTATACTTTAATGGATGGTAAATATACTAAATATACATATTAGGATGGGTCAACCAAAATGGAATATTTGCCATTCGCTTCGTACTCTGAAAACTAGGTTCTAGACAGTTCTAAGAAAATTTCTTCAACTATTAGTTCTTACATTACATATTAAGGTGGTCAAAAAATAAAAAAATTATACTTCGTGTTCGCGTGGTACTTTGAAAGCTAGGTTTTAGACACCTCAAAGGAAATTTTCTCCAAGTATYAGCTCTTAATTATAACAGGAAGGTCCTTACATTTTTCTAATTCTTTCTTATTATCAGATAGATATTAGATATTATTATCAAGTCGATCTCATTTCCAAAACAATTCTCGTTTCACAGACTTTGTAGAAAATTGAATGCTTTGTTACCATTTATCGTAAACCTTACTGTAATTTTGCACAGTTTTTCAAATATGATTTCTCCCTCTCGCAGTAGTTAATACTAGTATCCTGGAAAAAGCTATGCCACMGTAGAGCGCAAGTTCAAACGTAACAACTTCTAAGAAGGTCAGTTTACATCAAATTTYGTGAGAGAAAACAGGTTTTTTGTACAAGATGAAACTAAAAATCCCAAAAATTTGATTTTATCTCATAAATTTTAAGGTTGTGTGAAAAAAGCCTCATACCAAAGTTATGGATGACTTCACTTCCTACAACATTGCCATATAATATGTTTCTATAAGGCTAATAGTTTAGTTTCTACGCCAGTAAAGAAGAAAAATTCAATAATCCTTTTTTTTCCCCGATCTCAGATCGCCAAAAAATTATTTTTCCCTTAATGCTTTTTGTTTTCTTTTTTTTCGTTTCCGATGGGTTTGAACAACTGTGAATTTTTTTCTTTATTTTATAATTTTTTAAAAATTATTTTCCAAGGTGTCTGCTCTAGTCTATTTAGTCAAAGGTGTTTTCATGGCCTTTAGTTGCAATATAATTATGATCATTAAAGTAATTATTTTATGTTCTCTGCCTCTAAGATAACGTGGACTTTATTATTGTTTTAGCACTTTGTCAATAATTAGGAACTTCGCTGGTACTGAACTGAACTGAAATGATGCCACAATTCCAGCGGAGCAGTGTTTATTCATAAACTGGCATTAAATTTAACAAACTATCGCGATTAAATTGCAAAATAACAAAAACAATACACATAATAATTAATGGGATATAAACACGTAAAAATTATTGCTTTGAAATGCCACAAAATTAATTAAAATTTGTTGGAAAAATTAAATATTCAAATTAAATACATCATAATGATCAATTGAAGTTATTAAATATACATAATTTGTGTTCAGAATATGTTATATATTACAACGACAATAAATATTTAAATATAGTATACATGTATATATGAGACAATACAATACAAATAGACGCAAAAATGCGGGAGTGGTGGAAAGAACACAGAAACTAACACACTGACATGCACTGTTTTAATATGTGTTCGTGTGAGTGTGTGTATTTACAGTTCAATTAACCATTTAATATCATAAACACCAGCTAATCGACATGAATAAACGAAAATTCATAAAGTGTTTATAACGATTCAATTAGTGGAAGGAAATTGATAAACGAAAGAACGAAGAAATAAAACTCAAAAGTGGTGTTCACGTGCTTGTGGTTGCTTAGCATAATGAAGACGTAACAAATTAAAAAAAAGATTACAACAAAAACCATAAAAAATTTAGAAGTAAGCAAAAGTGCGGCTAATAAAAATAAATAAATGTGAAATTTTTTCTATAAATCTACAAAAAAATTTTAAAAAATTTATAATGAAAATAAAGAAAAACAACAGTTTTCTCAAAGAAAGCAACTATTGGCTTAATTTTGTATCAGTAAAGGAGATAAAAATAAATACAACAGAATACTATTTTTGATAGCATATTTTTTTACTAAATTAATATTTTTAATTTTTTTATTACTTATAATTTAAAATAAAAAGCGAACACCACAATGTAAGATGTTTTCGAAAAATTAACGGTAGAGTGTGTGGTTTGAGAAAAATGTGTTGGCTTGTAACCGGTGGCGTATGAGTAACATTCAACATGAGAAGATGCGTTGTTCTTTGATGGCGTGTACACTTAACAGTTGACGAGTAGGTGTGTATGTGTGCATGTGCACATGAGTCTTTCTACATGTTCTACTAATAAACTCTTTTGCTTACTTAACTTTGCCATAAAAATATTTAATTATTACTTTTTCTTATATTGCCAGTAAGAAATAATTAAATATCACTTTCAGGCGAATCAGTGAACTTTTGCATATTTCATTTTTACTTTCTTCCTAAGCGAAATGTTTCAACTGCTGCGAATTGCAGTTGAATAACACATTAAAAGCAGTGTTTTGAAAGCATTGGCTGTGAATGCAAAGTTTTGCGGCTTTTTTCGTACTTACCTCCTGTGGTGGCACGTCATAGGTGCGGGTACGCAAGTCCACACGGGCGTACGAGTCAATGCATGGTAAGATAAAGAATATGCCTGAAAGTGCGGAGAAAATTAACATTATTTTTAAAAGAAAGAATTCTTAGAAACTTCTTAAAAACTYATTTTATATTGTTTTTTTCGCCGTTAGGTCGGAATAAGTTTTGGTCTTAATATTAATAGTTGAAAAAGCCGTTTCGAATTTTGTCAATAAATCTCCAATAAATTTCGATGTGAAAAATGCACCTCGCTCTGGTCGACCTATCGTTGAAAAGGTCGATGAAATTATGAAAAATATTGACCAGGGCGGGCACATAAGCAGCCATGACATTGCTAATTCACATAACATCTATCATCAAATGGTTCTGAACAATTTAAAAAAGTCTAGCTACAAAAAGAACTCGATATTTGTGTACCACATGAATTATCTGTGAAAAATTTAATCTGCCAAATTGAAATCTACGGTTCTTTGCTGAAACGCAATGAAATCGAACCATTTCTGAAGCGAATGGAAAAAAAGACGAAAAGTGGATCAAACACGACAATAATATGCGATAAAGATCATGGTCCAAGTGTGGTTAGGCACAACAAACCTGACAAAACCAGGATTGACATTTCGAAAGATTATGCTGCGTGTTTGGTGGGATTGGAAAGGAATCATCCACTATGAGCTGCTCCAGCCTAGTCGATTGATTGATTGTACTTTTTACTGCCAACAACTGATGACATTGAAGCAAGCAATCGAAAAAAATGGCCAAAACTGATCAACAGAAAGGGCTTCGTCTTCCATCAGCACAACGCCAGACCACACACATCTTTGATGACTCGACAAAAACTGGGAGAGCTTGGCTGGGTAGTTTTGATGCGTCCACCATATAGCCCTCACCTTGTACCACCGGACCACAATTTGTTTAGGTCAATGCAGAACTTCCTTAATGGAGTAAAGTTGTCTTTAAGAGAAGCCTGTGAAAATTTCTTTGTCGCAGTTTTTCGTCGAGAAACCAGAAAAGTTTTACAATGATGGATAATGTCCCTAGCGTTAAAATGGCAAAATATTGTCGACCAAAAGGGCACATATTTGGTTCGTTATAAAAATAAAAATAAAATGAAGACCGTGTTTAACTCTAAAAAACGCAACCGAAATAAATCTCCCAAAAATGATTTTTACTTCCATTTTTGTTATTTTATCTTTTGCTGCTAACGGGTTTCATTCCACAATAATTCCTTTTTTATTTTCAAAAAGAGCAAACAATTTCAAGCTCGGAAAAGCAAAATCATGGCTTACAAGGAACAACGGGCGCCCACCTTTGCCCTCAAACTACGTAATTTCACACCTTAAAATAACAGTTCACTATAATTTATGCAATTAAAATTAATTAGACAAAGAAAAAGTACGAACAACAGCAACAACAACGGTAAGAACGTGAGGCGTTTGCTTGCGACCTTTCTTTAGAAAATTACCATTTGACACATTTGACACTAAAATGTGCGCAATTTATGCTTTTGTGGCCAATTGAGCAGAACTACTTTGCGGCAGCACCCCGCCCAGCAAGTTACGCAGCCCCGGTAACGGCAGCTGCGGCACCAGCGCCAACATCCGGGGCAACAAAGTGCAACAAGGACGCGAAAAAGAATCACAGCGGTGCGAACATTGCTCATGCAGCGCGACTAACGGCTTCGGCACAAACGCTAACACCTGCAACAGCAGAACCAGCTGCAGCAACAACAACCACTTTTGCCACACAACAAAGGCGGTGAGTATAAATGCAATGCGTGCATGACAAGGCAACGGCAAATACAAACACCCACACACACACACACATCGCTATGAAAGTGTCGTTTGAATGCAACCCTGCAACCCAGTTTGTGTGTACAGCCATGTGGTGTTGTGACATCTTGCCTGCCGTTATGTAGATGTATGGTGTGCGTGTTTGTGTAGTGGTATGTRTGCTTGGCTTCTCGCAAGCTACTAAGCGGGCGCGCAAAGTGCCGTTGCAGGCGAACGGCAAACAAAAGTTTCCACCACAAACGTATGTTGGCTGTGCTGCTTCGCGCCGCCTCGTAAACGATGAAGAATTGGATCAAGTGCTGCAATTAACACAAATTGCCATTGCGCTCCTGCAGCCGCAACAGTGGCAGCTGTTGTCGATGACAATATGCGAGTACGTGACACACACACACACGCACAGCTACATATACACACGCTTGCAGCGCCTTGCGAATTTCGTAAATGTGTAGCAAGCGTACCCTGTAGGAAATTGCTTCAGCATAGTGAACTGCTTTCTTGGCGAGAGCGGAGAAATCGACACTGTCGCTCCTTGATGGCTCTTCTACAGCTTACTCTAGCACGGAGAGGTCTCAGTGAGTTCTTATTGTTTGAGAAGATCTCATAATTTTGAGGCAATCTTGCTCGCAGCATCTTTAAGAGCCTTAAACTGCATCTGTGGTGCTCACGGAGCTTACTTTGACTCACTGTGAGCCATGGCGTTCTCGATTTTTGTTTTTAAACATATTAGAAGCTATTTTGCTTCTCACCGATGCAAGCGTTAGTCTTGAATGTTGTTGCTGTTCTTTTCATCCAAGTAATAATTTACTCAGCCAAAATCCTTTGATGACTGTGCCCAAATTGGCAATAAATAGAGAGAAGAATGATTATACATAGTATTGTATTCAGCAAAGAACATTTGYCATTGTGGCGTCGTCAAACTGCCCAACAGTCCCATTTCGTTATAGCCTGGTTTAATATTCCAGCTTATATATTGGGTAGTCGAAAAAATACCATTTTCCTCGACCACTTTTTGCCATTTCTCCGCTAGAGGCATTATTCCTTCAGTATAAATTTTACTTTATTAAGAGAGTTCTGCATTGACCGAAACAAATGGCAGTCCGATGGTGCAAGGTCAGGGCGGATGCATCAAAACTTCCCTGCCAAGCTCTCTCAGTTTTTGCCGTGTGTGGTTTACGTTGTCCTCATAATTAGAAGACGAAGCTCTTTCTGTTGGTCAGTTCTGGCGATTTTTTCGATTGTTTGCTTCAATCTCATCAGTTGTTGACAGTAAAAAGTGCAATCAATCAATCGATTAGGCTGGAACAGCTTATAGTGGATGATTTCATTCCAATCCCATCAAACAATCAGCAAAACCTTTCGAGGGGTCAACCCTGGCTTTGCGACCATTTGTTGCGTTTCACCACGCTTGGACCATGATTTTTTCGCATATTATTGTCGTATTTGATCCACTTTTCGTCTTCTGTTACCATTCCCTTCAGAAATGGTTCGATCTCATTTGGTTTCAGCAAAGAAGATGTTAATTTAAACATTTTTGGAATGTAAACTGCATAAATTTCATTGGTGSGTTGCGTGGCATTATTCCAATTTTTATACAAAAATTTCAAAATGAAACGAATTTCGTAACAAGATCTATAGACAAAATACGAAAAGACTTTTTCGACTACCCATTATACGCAGTGTTCAAACGTATTCCAAGCATTTTCCGTTGCACCGTTATCTACCACCAAAAACAATAAAAATTCCGTGCATACTCACCGGGACCCTTGGCGCCGCCCTGCATAAGACGACCCAAACGAAATATAACAGCACGTTCATATTCCTGTACTACCTGTAATTTAAGGAGAGGAAAAAGTGAAAATGAAATAAGAACACACAGAGGCAAAAGCAGTGGATAATAAGAAAAATTATGCGCCTGAATGGCAAAGTTATTTGAGAAGGATCTGGTGCAWKTGTGTGTGYGTGTGAGTGTGTGCGCGCAGTTAGGCAAGTTGCAACGGCAGCCGAACAATAGCGCAGCAGACAGATAGAACTGCAAGGCAATAAAATAAATGATTGTTAGAGCTGCTGCCGGCTGCTGCCTGCTGCTTACTTGCACCTTGCAGGTGGCACGTTGCTGAATGCAGCCATTTCAAAAGGTGTAAAAATCATTTATTATTCCATTTATTTGCTGCTTTGCCACTTTGATTGCCTCAACTGCTGTGGCATGCAAGCTGCGTCGCTGCGGAACTTAATAACGCTTCTAATGCGCATTTCAGAGCAGCTGCAAGCACACATCAACACACACACACACACCGTTATGTGTGCTATAACGGTACTTGCATGCGTATGTATATATACATATATATATGAATGTTATATACTGAATGGTGGCACTTACCTTGAAGCACACGAACAAGCTGAACGGCAACGTGAGTATGACAAGTCCAACGGATAAAAATATCAGCAGCTTCCCACACGTCGATGCCTTATCGCTAATTTCTTCATCGGCTACAAAAGGAAATTCCAAGAAGAATTACTTAAACGCTTGCGTGTTTGGAGTAAAGCAATTAAATTGATAGAATGCCTGCGCACACATAGCTTCTAGTTTTTATAGTAGCGATCACAAGCAATAACAATATAAGTTGACTTAGTGGACTGCGCTCCGATGGCGGAAAATACTATGGTGGACTTATAAAGAAAAGATGCACTTGGGWAAGTTTTAAAATATTTTAACTAAGTTTTTACCAAAAGAAATAGAAAAGAGTTTCCTCAAAAGTCTGTTAAGTCAACTTAGCTGTTATTGCTTGTGTTCGCAGTTTCAAATTATTAAGCTTATTCTAGAGTAATGTAGTGAAATGTATGCGTAAAAAGCCTTAAGATAAGCGTAATTGCGTCATAAAACAATATTTTGAGACCTATATGTTAGTAACGGGGTTTTCAATAAGAGCACTACAAAAGCAAAAACCGTTTGGGATATCAATGAAATTGTTTATTCCTGTGAAATCACTTTCGATGACATTTAGTATGGAACTCGGTTTCTTTTGCATGGCCACCACTGGCACGCTTGCAGAAGTTCAGACGCTGAACCCAATTTTCGAAGGTTTTCAAACATAAATCGGCGAATACTGCTGCAATATTCGTACGAAGTTTATCAATGGTCGCTGACTTGTTGACGTAGCCCCACAATAAATAGTTCAACAGCATCAAATCGCAACACCGACGCGGCCGATTGTCTGGACCATTTCGTGAGGTAACACGTTCACCAAACTTGGGTTTCAATAAATCGATTGCGACATTCGTTGTGTGGCTTGTGGCACCGTCATGTTGGAACCACATATTGTCCAAGTCCATTTCAGTCAATTCGGCGGAAAAATATTCGGTTATCATTGAGCGGCAGCGAATTCCATGCACACTAACGTGCCGTTCATGATCATCACGGAAGAAGTACGGCCCACAGCCACCATAAACCGCACCAAACCATAGCTTTTTCGAGATGCACTGGCCGAGATGTTTCCGCAAAATTCGCTACAATGACGTCACAGAGTTGCCCAACGCTTTAGAATGACGTGTGAGGCATGATTTGGGTCTTCCTCAATTGTTGCGCCAGCGGCGTAATATTCTTGACACTACGGGCACTTCTTTTTTTTACTGGCACGGGCACATTTTGTGCTGTGTCTGTGGATTSAAATTTTTCCAATAGACGCTCAATTGTTGATATTGATCTGACAAGACGATTGTGACGTCCATAATTTAGACGTAGCGCTCTTAAAGTTGAGGCCACTGACTCCGGATTTCGGTAGCAAATTTTAMTAATTTCGACTGGTTGTTGGATCGTATGTCTTTCCATGATGAAATGAAAAAGTATGGCATCGGTTGCTGTACCTATCGGTGTACTTTTGTAGCTGCCCTTTTGAAAAAGCCATTATTTTGTATATATATATTTTTTATTTTGTATATATTATTTTGTATATATATATATGCCTTATTACATTACAAAGATAGTATGAAACCCGGTGTTGTTGATATTATTAATTTTTTTAATAATCGATTGAATTAATACTCAAATTTCATAGCGAAAGCACGCCTATAATATAATACTAATTTACCAGATGTGTTCAGAAGTTAATGGGAATTTTAAAATTTCGCTGAAATTTCTTTTGGGAAATGAGGCAAGATTGGGAGCTGCCGTTCATCGCGAGCAATCAAAATCGCTTTAGGCACAACTTTGCAGCAYAGCCTACGCAGTGTCGCTGAAAAGTATATAAGTAAGTAAACTGCTGCATACGGCATACACATATTCAAAACCATTAGCTAAACTCAGTTTAAATTTGAGCCATACATTTTGAAATTATACTAATGAATGGAATTCTGCAAACAAAGTTTATATACATATATATATTATCCAAAAACAAGAATCTCGAGGGAATATTTAGCAACCGCAAGAGACGCAGCTGTGTTCGCATACAGTTACACACTTATGTATTTGTAGAGCATTAATTATGAGTTTATATGCGAGGCATTGAACGCTAAATTGATTGCTGTATTGAGACATTGGAGTGATACTGAAATTTGCATTWTCCAAACGCACACACACTGGCCGTCATTTCATGTAACTTTATGCTTCAYACAAATATATCAATTGTATGAATATGTACGTGGTTGCTTGTGTCATCATTTTTGCTTGTATGCGTTAGAGTATAGCCACGTGTTGTGTTGAACCACAGAAATGTAAATAGCATGTGTTGAAAAATGTGTAACTGAAAACCGCGTTAAGGGATAACAGAAATATTTGACATTTCCACTCATGTACATAAATAAATATGTTAATATGTAATATGCAGCGCAAATAAAACGGCTAGCGTTGTCGAAAAACAGAGTGGACCTGAAGGCGGGATTAAAGATTTGATGAAATTCAGCGCAATCTACAGATAGAACATTGATCAAGACGGGAGCACCTCGCTTCGAAAGCAA